AGCCATTACGCTAACTGCCGGTCCCATATGTGCAGTTTTATGACATTTGTAAGTTACTAGTCATATAGTGCACTAGTTAAGCTCAGCTCCAGAGTCAGCATGGGGAGTTTCAATCCCAGTCTTGCTATTTAATAGCTATAAAATTTTAGGCAAATTAGTTGTTTTCCTTATCTGAAAATGATTACTATCACTAGAGGTTTGGTATAAAGATTAAATTATATATATAAAGCACCTAGCATACTGCCAAAAACCATGGTATAAGAGCTAACAAATTTTAGCTACTGTACATTCTCTAATTCAATCCTGACAGCAGCCGTAAGAAAAATGGCAGGGCAGGCCAGCTTTGTGACCTGGTGGCTGCCAGATTACATAGAGCTTATCCAGTGGATCAAGTCATGGACCCAAATGGACCCTTTCTGGTGAGCACACATGCACTCTGGTAAATAAAACAGACTCTTATCTAATTTAAATCTTCACCCATATAAAGTATGGTCAAAATGGAAAGTTCTTGAGTATAGAGAACAATATTTGTTCATATGAAAAATAATGTATTTTTCTATTTAACTCTTTACTCCTTTTTTTTTCTTTTGGAGAGGTTTTTGCTATAGGGCGTGTGCCCTCACCAGAAAGACAGAGAGAAACGGAGGGACAGAAAGCAAGAAATCAGCCTCCAGGGGGATGACCATGCCACAATCCCTTCTCTTCCATACTCCTCTCAGGATCTTGAGTATGCATGCACATGTGTCCAGCATCAGTTTAAACCACCAGGTCTGGGACTTGAACCACAGTCAACTACATGGGAATGCAGCAATATAGCCATTATACCAACTGCTGGTCCCGACCTTTTTTTTTTTAATGAGTTATTTATTGGGGCCAGCAGGTAGTGTAGCGGTTAAGGCACTGGACTCTCACATGGCTGACTGTGGTTTGAGTCCTGGACCTGGCAGCTTGCTTTCTCTTTTTCTCTGATCAAGTTGAATAATAAAAAATAAATAAAATAAATTCTTTTAAAAAGTAACTTATTTTTTAAAAATTATTTTATTTAACTTTATTTATTTATTTATTTCAATTTGACCAGAGAGGGATAGAGAGAGAGAGAGAGAGAGCACGCAGGCTGCCAGGTCGGGACTGGAATCGCGGCCAGCAATGTGGGAGTCCAGCACCCTTAACCACCAAGCCACCTGCCAGCCCCAAAAGTGACTTCTTAAAAAATTATTTAATTCTATTTGTTAATATTATTTTTTAATTTGACAAGAGAGAGACAGAGAGAGACAGGAAGAAAGGGAAAGTGAGAAAGCAAGTCACCAGGTCTGGGATTTGAACCGCTGTTTGCCATATGGAAATCCTGCGTTTTTAACTGCCATGCCACCTGCCGATCCATTTACTTTTTTTTTGGTAAGCTCTTTACTTCTTTAATTTTTAAAAACAATTCAATATTTTAATGTTCTGACCAGCAGCAGTACAAACACTGCTATTAGAGACCGAGAAAGAGAAAGGGGGAAAGTGAGAAAGCTGGCCACCAGGTCTGGGAATCAAACCTCAGTCAGCCACATGGGAATCCTGTCCCCCTTTACTTTTTATTACCCCAAATCTCAGGGCCAGCAGATGGCATAGTGGTTATGTCGCTGGACTTCCACATGGCTGACCACTGTTTGAGTACTAGAACTGGTTGCTTAAAACTCATATCAGGCACGTGTGTGCAGGGTGCCCAAGATCCTAGGAGGAGAATGGAGAAGGGACTGCGGTATGGCCACCCCTCCTAGGGAGAGGACTTCTCACTTTCCTTCTCACTGTCTCTGTCTTTCTCTGGTGGGCGCATGTGACCTAAGGCAATGCGATTAAATAAATTCTCCATGGTAATAAAGCCAGGAAATAACAAGACTGGAATTAAAGCTACCCCATCGGCCATCAAAGACAGTGAGGCAGCTGCTGTGTCACATGTGCAAGTCCATTAAGAAACCTAGCAGAACATGTCAGTGACTTCACTGTGACGAACAAATCAAGTGATCTTCTCTGAAGCTTGAGAAGAAACATTTTTATTTATTTAATAGCAGCCGCTTTAAAAAAAAAAAAAAGAGTGGTTTACTCATTTATTTTAATTTTACCAGAGAGAGACACATAGAGGGAGGGGGAAAGTGAGAAATCAAGCCACTAGGTCTGGGACTCGAACCATGGTCTGCAATATGGGAGTGTCCAGCACCTTAATCACCACGCCACCTGCTGGTCCCAAGAAGAAACATTTTTAAAGATTTGGTGATTAAATATACTCCATATTGAGACAATGAGTGTGAGAACACTAGAAGAGTAATTTAAAATCCTGGGACCAGCAGTTAGTGTATTGGCTATGTTGCTGGACTCCCAGAGTCGACCATGGTTCGATTCCCAGACCCAGTGCTTAAACTCATGCTGGGCGTGTGTGTGTGCGTGCCCAAGGTCCCGAGAAGAGAATGGAGGAGAAGGGATTGCGGCCAACCCCCCTGGGGGATGATTTCTCGCTTTCTATCTCTCTGTCTCTCTTTCTGGCGAGTGCACGCACCTCTCCAACAAAACAAAACAAAAACAAAGCAACAAAAAAATTTAAAATCCTAACACCAAAAGGACCCAAAGCCCAAGTAATGCCATGCCTTACTTCAATATTTCTTCTCTGCACTGCCTCTGTGTGGCAAAACAAGCTATAGCCCACATTTTTATTTCAACTCCTGTGTGGAACTGCTTTCCCCTCATGTCCCATACTCCATGGCTTGGTGTTGCTACTGTCCGATTCTATGTAACAAAGGGAAAAAAAAGAGAAATACAAGGCAAAAAAGAACAAAAATTAAAAACACCAATTTATTTCAATGAGCTGAAAATATGCATTTTAAATTGCTGAACTGATATTCTACATGGAACAGGTTTTTCTAAATCATTATTTAATACTTCTATTATTTAAAAAAAAAAACACAAATTCTACTAAACTCAAGCAGCTTAAGACATTCACCTTAAAACAAACAAAAACAAGTGCTATTGGAACAACAAAAGAATTTCTGAATTCTAGGCTTAGCTAGAATGTCCTTCTGTCCATGCTCATAAACTTTGTGTGTGTGATTAAAACGTTATTGAGAGTCTTTACCCGTCCTCCATACTGGAGCATAGGCGCTGGAAGTACACGTCCGGTTACATGGGCCATTTCATCCCGAACTTTAAATTGAAACTCCTGAACAAATGGATCTGTTTCATAATTTGCACTTCTTACCTAACAAAAGAAAAAAATCATCATTATGTCAATAATATATATATATATATATTTTTTAGACAGAAAGCGAGAAATCACCCCCCAGGGGGGATGGTCACGCCGCAATCCCTTCTCCTCCATTCTCCTCTCGGGATCTTGGGCACGCACGCACACGCGCCCGGCGTGAGTTTTAAGCCACCGGGTCCGGGACACGAACCGCGGTTGACTACGTGGGAGTCCAGCGACATAGCCATTACGCTAACTGCTGGTTCCCAATAATATATTTTGCAATAGTATAATTGATGATGTCCTAACTATAGAGCAGGGAATCTTTTTCTTTTAAGAATTATTTATTTAATTTGATCTACTATTATCATTTTTTTGTTTTGTTTTGTTTTCTTTCTTTAGAGAGATTTTTGCTACAGGGAGTGTGTGTGTGCCAGAGAGACAGAGAAAGAAGGTGAGAAATCACTCCCCAGGAGGAAGACCATGTCAGAGTCCCTTCTCCTCTATTCTCCTCTCAGGATTTTGGGCGCACACGCAACCAGTGTGAGTTTTAAGCTGCCGGGTCCAGGGTTCGATCTGCAGTTGACTGTGTGAGAGTCCAGCGATGTGACCATTACACCATCTGCTGGTCCCTATTATTGTTGTTATTTTTTAATTTGCTATAGGGCACAAGTGCTGACTAGAGTGGCGGGAGTGAGAAAGCAAGCTGCCAGGTCCAGGACTTGAACTGGCCAGCCATGTGGCAGTCTAGCACCTGAACAACCATGCCACCTGCTGGCCCCAAAGAACAGAGAATCTTAGGTTGGGGACTACAGGTCATGAATGCACTACAGGAAGTCTGGACACCCTGGTAATTTAAATAAGATTGAAATGTATGTACCTAGTACAATAATAAAAAAATTCAACTATTTGAGACCAATGAACATGGTAATTTAAAAAAATCTATTTTTATTTTTCTTAAAATTATTTAATTTTAATAAGCATATAGATATACATATGCATGTATGTGTGTATATATGTGTACATATATATGATATATATTTTCGTTTATTATCATTATTTCTTTTTAAATTTAATTTGCTACAGGACATGTGTGTTCACCAGAGAGAGACAGAGACAGAAAGAGGAGAAGGAAGAAAATGAGAAAGTAAGCTGTCAGGTCCAGGACTCAAACTGTGGTAGACCACGTGGGAAGTCAGTTCCTTAACCACCACACCACCTGCTGGCCCCAGAAAATGGTAATTTTTATATGATTGGGCGAGGAAGATAATTTTATGTATGTTTTGGGAAAGTTAGAAATATCTCACCTAAAAAAGGTTAGAAGTCTCAGATTATAGAGGATCCACATATGATACTATTAAAATTCATTTTACATGGCATTTGGTAGGAAAAAATAAAGGCTCTTTTACAAATTTCCTGACTTAAAATTCATATAAAATTTACTTCAATATTTTAGAAAAACAGTGACACATAATAAAATTTATTTAATGGGGTTTACTTGAGACAGGTAAGTCAGTATCATTATGGGTTATAATTTTTATATAATATACCCATACTTATAGTCAAAGATATAGAACTTATTGTAATTCACTGATGCATGTCACTAATTCATGTTTTTAATGTGGTATAGTTAACTGTTCCTGAAAATATATTTACTTGTTCTCTGGGTAAAGGTCAAACAAACTTATAAAAGTTTGTTGCAATTGTAGTTGGCGTGCCAGGCTCCTATATGGCTGAATACTAACCAATCTGCTCCAGTGTTCAAGTAAAAATCCACTTATAAAAACCTATGGGGGGGACCAGCAATTGGTGTAATGGCTATGTCACTGGACTCCCATGTAGTCAACCGTAGTTTGAGTCCCGGACCCAGTGGCTTAAACTCACGCCAGGTGCATGTGCATGTGTGCCCAAGATCCTGAGAGGAGAATGGAGAAGGGATTGCAGTGTGGCCATCCCCCCTAGGGGGTGATTTCTCACTGTCTCTCTGTCTCTGTCTTTCTGGCGAGCACACACACCCTATAGCAAAAACCTCTAAAAACAAAACAAAACAACAAACCTATCTAATACAGGGGACCACTGATGGCATGGTGGTAGGTACTGGATCCTACATGGCATACTGTGTGGTTTGAGTCTCAGGTCCAGCAGCTTGCAAAAACATGCTGAGCGCATGCCTCTGTGTGTGTGTCCAAAATCCCAAGTGGAGAATGGACAAGGGATGGCTGATGGCCATCCCTGCTGGATGGTGGCGTGCTTTCTCACTTTCTCTCTAGCAAGTGCATGCATCCTATAGCAAGTGCACTCCCTCCTCCCCCTAGAGGGGATAGCCATATCACAATCCCTTCTCCTCCAAAGTCTTCTCTAGATTTTGAGTACACGGTCACACATACTTGTGTGCTTTTCAAGCTGCAGGGTCTGGACTCAAACCATGTAGCCGGCCATGTAGACTTAACCACCATGCCATCAGCTAGCCCACCACTAGATTATTTTCCATAATCCCTTTTAATTCTGACAGTCTACAAAATGGTAGTAACGTATGGATTTAGAAGGGCATATTTCTTTAATAGCTCACTCTAATGTGTTTTAAGTTTCTATTTCTAGATTGAATACTAACCAATCTGCTAATTTCCTCCTGTCTATCTGGCGCAGATCTTGCTGTTGCCTTGATCATGGTGGAAGTCTGATTGTCTGTGAGCTTCTTGATACACCGCTGCCCTGCCACAATGTTGCAGACCTGTAAAGGAAAAACAGTTTTGTACTAGATATATTATTTTATTTTATTTTGGAGAGGTTTTTGCTATAGGGCGTGTACGCTTGCCAGAAAGACAGAGAGAGACAGAGAGACAGAAAGTGAGAAATCACTCCCCAGTGGGGATGGTCACGCCGCAATCCCTTCTCCTCCATTCTCCTCTTGGTATCTTGGGCACGCACACACATGCACCCGGCGTGAGTTTAAGTCACTAGGTCCAGGACTCGAACCGTGGTCGACTACGTGGGAGTCCGCAACATAGCCATTATGCTAACTGCTGGTCCTGATATATTCTTTTAAAACTCTCCCATAGTGCTGATTATATATGAAATATGAATTTAAAGTCTATTCATTACACTTTTTAATATCCTATTAATTAAAAAAGTAGTAAACAAAATTGCTTTATAGTATGATTACAATTAGGTAAAATGTACATGGGATAAAAAGAAGGAAAGAAGTACCCTCAAGATGCTAACAGTATTTACATCACAGTAGTAAGATTATGGATGAACTTACTTTCCATCCTGTATTATTTCATTACAGGAAATTTAGAATAAATGGAATTCAAAAACTTTTCAAATTTCAAAATAAATGAGAATATAACCTAGGTAAAGGATATAAAAGACCCCAAAAGAATGATGACTAAGCAGATATTAAGAAGCAGTGTAGGGGCCGGCAGGTGGTGGTGTAGTTGGGGTGCTGGGCTCCCATATGGCCCAACAAAGTTCAAGTCCTGGACCTGGTAGCTTGCTTTCTCACTTTCCCTCTCTCTTTCTGGTCAAATTAAATAATAATAATAAATAAATTAATTAATTTAAAATGTTTTGAGAGATTTTTGCTATAGATGTGTGCACTTGCCGGAGAAAGAGAAAGACAAAGTAAGAGATCACCCCGCTCAGAGGGATGGCCACACCACAATCCTTTCTCCTCCATTCTCCCAGGATCCTGGGCATGCACACACACAGGCCTGAAGTGAGTTTTAAGCCACCAGGTCTGGAACTCAAACCACAGTTGACATGTAGTTGACATGTAGGAGTCCAGTCCCTTATCCAGTCCCTTATCCACTATGCCACCTGCTGGCCCCAAATAAAATAATTCTTTTTTTAAAAAAATGGCAGTGTAAGAGCATTACTTCTAGTGGCAGGTAGGTATGTTTCTGCTCCTGCCCCACTTGCAAACAGGGAAGGTGGGGGTACTTCAGCTGAAGAGTATACTTTTCTCTGAAATACTGTGCTACTGTTCTCTCCACGGTTTGGCCATTTTCTAATTGCAAAGGAAAGCTGGAAAAAAAAAAAAAAAAGATACATGAACAACTCTTTAGCCATTACAAACCAGAAAAACTCCCATCCCACTAGACCTAGGACGAGCCGCCCCACATCGTCACTGCTGTGACAAACACCAGCTTTCTTACGTTTGATGACTGGCAGGCCTTCTTGTTACATTACAAACACGGTATTTCCGTCTCATTGTTCCACAATGAGTCACTTCAACCTTCAGACCTGTTCCCAACAAGAAAAACAGAGGTTATAGAACTGTCATATGGGAAATATTTACACATATAAAGGTCTGTTTGTTACTATAAAAACTCAATTCCCAATAGACAGAAATCTGACACAGGTATAGTAACAAAGGACCTTAATATATGTTGCTAATAATGGGTACAATCAAGACGGACTCAATGGCCAAACCTTTTCCCTACCCTATTCGGTTCCATATATTTAAAAATGTAATCATATATCTGCAAAGCCCACAGATCAAGGGACAAAGCTCTCTATTAATAATAAATGCAGGTATTTCTGCTGCAGGAGGAAAGGAAGAATGAAAGAGGAGTTGTAGCACTTCTTAAGATATTCTATTACATAACCTTCAAAGTATGTGATACTTAAATAGCCCAGTCATCACATACTGACTGAAGATCAGAATTTCATAAAGCTCAAGAAAGCAGCTTTTCAAAGGTTTATAAAGAAGCAAAAAATGCCATGTCTTTTTAACAGATATGGAGAGAGAATTTTAGTGAACTATAATATAGTGATACAGCTCTTTTACAATACTATTGACAAAAGAATGCAACCAAAATAAGTCCTAAAGCAGGTGATCCCTACCTTCTATGGAGTCACTGACCCCTTTGGGAATTGGATGAAAGCAATAAATTCTGAGAAAAATGCAAATACACATCATTTTCCATGTGATTTTAGGCATTCCTAGATTTCTGCAGTTCATTTGAGGACCCTAAGGGTTCTAGGACCCCAAGCCTGCTTTAGAAAGTGAAGAAACAGGCTTTAAACCATCTGCTGAAATTCTTTGGTATCAATTTTCTTAAGCAGTGCTATAAAATAGTGAGATGGCCTCTTCCGTATCTCTGTAAATACGGTAATCACTAATAGCATGTATTACTAGAAACACGGAATGTGGCTAGTATGCCCAAGAAACTAAAATTTTAATTTCATTTCAGTTTAGTTAAAGTAAATTTAAATAGCTACACTTGGCCATAGAAAAGTTGACCGACACACAGAAGCAACTGCATTACTGACTTAGACTCCAAAAAGGGGCAGATGAAAGACAAATTTTCGTTTCCTAACAATGCTTATGGATATTATTCTTCCTGTTATTTCTCTTTTACATTTGTGATTTCTATAGTGCTGTGTTCCTCAACCAGGGGTGATTTTGCATCCCTGGGGACACTTGTTAATGTTTGAAGACCTTTCTGATCATCACAGCTAGAGGGATACCACTGGCATCTAGGGAAGAAAGGCCAGGGATACTTCTAAATGCCCTACAATACCCAAAACAGTCCCCCAATCCCAACAAAGAATTATCCAGCCCAAAATGTCAACAGTACTAAGACGGAGAAACTCTGCTACGGTATAATTTATTTTCTTATCTAATGACTAACAGCAGTACCAAAAACAAACTTCATTCAGTAAATAATAAATATTGTCTTCGGAAACAGCAGCATAGACTGAGATGCCAAATGGACTCGGCAGCCCTGCGTCAAGTTGGTATGAGTTTTCTTGAGGAGCATTTCTAACTGAATCAGTAAAGTTGTTTTCCATTATAATTTCCTTTACTAAAATTTCAGATCAGTTAGAACATTTGCTTTGCCTTTCTATTATAAAGGAAACTAGAAAATAAAAGTATGAAGGGAAGGCCTTACAAGAAGGAAATATGCACAATACTAAGCGAGCAAGATGTAAAAATACTATGTTTAGGAAGAAAACACAGTAGAAAAGTCCAAAATAAATTTCTATTATTTGTACTATTTAGTAATTTATTTTCAAGCCTTTCCCCTTCCCCTGCATTAAAAGAATATATATTAATAAGTTTCTCCAAGACTACAAAATAAGCTTCTACCAAAAATAAATTGGCACTTTTCTATATATATGGTACCTCTACCATACACTTCCCAATATTTCTATTATTAACTACTATGAATTACTGGACAAAGAAACTACCTCAAAATTATTATTAAATATATAGAAAAAAGTTCAAATAAAATAAAATGAATATATTAGGGGAAAAAAAACACAATTCATTATAGCACATTTTGTATCAATATTTAACAGCTACCATCAAATTCTTCATGCCAGCTAAAAATTAAACCCAAATATACAGTACATAACACAAAACCTGATTCTCTTGGGTTACTGTGGTAGGAATACATGATGTACTTTAAAGAGCCCTCTTTTAAAAAGGGCCTTCTTGACTCTGAATGGAGAAAAAAATAATCAGTTTGTCAATCAGATTCAACCCAGACCTTTCTACCCAAAATCTAGGATAATAGGTATGTAAGAATTAAACCAAAATCCAGGGACTAGCAAAAAGTTGAAACTTTAAAAAAATGAACTAGATAATTCTCTGCCCGAGTCCCTCCCCAAACCCTCCGTCCAACCAAAAAGAAATTTTGGCTTTAATAAATATTTAACCTATAAACTTGGCTTTACCTTCACTATAACATCAACTTTATAATGCTTTCTAGTCATTTCTTTGGGCCCCTGAGCAGTTGAAGTTAAGATCGAGTCCATGCTCTTCGGGCAGCAGCTGAGTCCTTGTTCTGTACATCTTGTATTTTCTGTGACAGAGTGGTGATATGAGTTGATTGCATAGTTACCAGAAAGTAATGTAAGTGACTTCATGATATCAGAGGTGGTAACTAAGCAGCAACTCCAGTGGAAACCATGGCATTTAGATGATCACATACTGATGGTAGGTAATGCACTAACCTCCTGACAATGCTAACTGTGCAGTTAATACAGATATTATGAAAGGACAATGGTATGACTGCAAAACAGTTACATTTAACAGTTTCTTATTTTGACATTTAAATAACTTAGGATAAATGGATGCTTATTCTCTAAGCAGGAAGGATTTTCCTTTTAATGTTTTATTACAATGACTCTCTCCTGGTTACTGAATGGAAAGAATGAATGATTACTGGAGCAGGCAGGATGTATTCAGCTACTCTAATTGATTTGGGGAATTGAAAGATGTTCAGTGAACAAACTTGAATGCTTCATTCAAACCACATGCTGAAAATTATCTGCAACAAACAGGTAAAATCTTAAATAAAAGCAATATGATTATTTTTGGCTATTTAATATGTAACACTTAATATACAGAACTTATACTACTCATCTTATTAGAGACTATCTAATCTCTCTTCATGGCTAAATAATAAGCTAAATGCAGTGGAGTCACATTTTATGTTAGGATTCAGTTCTAAAGTCATGAACAAGTCAAGAATTATGTATAATCAAAATTACTCTTTAAAAATCTCTTAAGCTGCTGATACAGTATATAATAAAGTACAATATAAAATTGTACATGTATATCTAACTGTATATAAAAACATACATACATAAAAAGCAAATGTATACAAAATATAAATTTTAGAACACCACTGAATTATTTTTTCCTTTTTCTTCTGTGGGAGACCATGTAGAGATGAATTAACATTAACTAAATATAAATACAATGTGACACTTTGTATGTACAAATTTTATTATAACTACTGTATAAAACAGGCAGGATCAATGGCCATCTCTCTAATGCACATTCAGTAAGTTGTAACTCTAGAACCATTCATGAAACAAGTTAGTTCCATATTCATGAATTTTTAAAGAAATAAAATAAATCTATCATTTCAGAAAAATGACAAAGTCATCATATTAGAATATGTTCAAAGAATAATTGTAGCTTTAAAGTAACAATACTTTTGGAATAAGCTTCCTACTTTTAGGAGTATTACAGAAGTGTTTTTCCATGAGACACTCATGGCTTCAGATAGTAAGGGAAAGTATTAGGAAAAAATTAGCTAGTATCAAAAGTAATTCCATTGCTTGATATTAGTTTCACTATACACTGTCTAACTAAAATGTTATAGTAATATTTTATAATTGATAACATCTTTTTACTGGTGATGTTACATGCATAACTTTAATTCTAAAAAAAATTAAAGATTGTTATATCCATGCATTTTACAGTTAAGTGTTCTAAATGCTAATTAATTCACCTTTTATCTCTTTGGTGAATTTTACCCGATGAGAATCAGTCAGAGGTCTTGGTTGCTCATCAATATTATGGATGTCAAGAACTTCACACATGAACTGAATTACAGGTTGTGCTTTGTAGAAGGCAGTGGCAGAAACTAAGAAGAAAAACACGAACAATGCAAATTAATGTTTCCCTAAAAATTCACAAACTTCATCTTAGGCTCCGTAATCATGAACTATTTATTTACATTGTTAAAAGATGCCTATATAAATTTATGTATATATACATTAAAGTTTCCAAAACTGTGCCATTTCAATTTGAGCTCTGAGGCACAAGAACACAAAAGCCAAATACGACAATTTATACAACGTCATTCCTCCATCATGGGTAACTGGGTAATCCATTCTGTACTATATGTACAGAGATGTGCTCTGGGTTTGGACAAGGACTCAGGGGACTAGGAAGGCCAGAACTCATTAGCAGATGAGAAAGTTAATTATTTCCTTTTTTAAAAAAAATTATTTATTGCTATTTTAAATACGCTATAGGGTACATGTGAGAGACAGAAAGTGAGAAAGCAAGCTGCCAGGTCCAGGACGCAAACTGGTTGGCCATGTGAATCCAGTACCGCCTGTAGGTATTCTTCGGTTTACTTAAAGAATTATTTATTTATTTAATTCCATTTGTTATTATTTTTTTAATCTGATAAGAGAGAGAAAGGGCAAGTGAGAAAGCAAGCCACCAGGTCCAGGACTCTCGAACCACAGTTGGCCACGTGGGAATCCAGTGCCTTTATCCACCATGCCTCTTGCCGGTCCTCAGTACTTTCTTTCTTTCTTTCTTTTTTTTGGAGAGTTTTTTGCTATAGGGCGCGTGCGCTCGCCAGAAAGACAGAGAGAAACAGAGAGACAGAAAGCGGGAAGTCATGCCCCAAACCCTTCTCCTCCATTCTCCTCTTAGGATCTTGGACATGCATGCACATGTGCCTGGTGTGAGTTTAAGTCACCAGGTCCGGGGCTCAAACCACAGTCGATTACACGGGAGTCCCAGCGACATAGCCATTAAGCCAACTGCTGGTCCCGGGAGAATGTTTTTAAAAAGTTACAAAAACTACATACCATAAAAACTGTATGAAAAAAGGCATCATAAATGAAACTTTAAAAAGATAATAGGGGGGCTGGCAGGGGGTGTGGTGGTTGGGGACGCTGGACTCCCACGTGGATGACCATGGTTGAGTCCCAGACCTGACGGCTTGCTTTCTCACTTTCTCTCTCTCTTGCTCTGTCCCTCTCTGGTCAAATAAAAATAAATAGATAAAATAGATAAATAAAGTTAAATAAAATAATTCTTTAGAAATAAAAAGGAAAAGTTATAGGTTGGTAGAAGATATGCACAATATATCTAACAAATGGTTACATCTAGGCTATTTAAATAATTTCTACAAATCAAGACAATAAAAAGCAGCAAAAATATCTATAGATATTTTATGAGAGAAAAAAAGTAAGTGGCAAAAAAACTCATTATCTATCTTATTTGTAATTAAGAAAATACATAGAAAATGGATATCAAACTAGTTTTATAACTAAGTTTAGCAAAAATGTGAAGACTAATAACACAGTGGTAAGCCAATAGAAGGTGGAAGTTCTGATGGTGGAACGCAAACTGACATAATCACTCAGGAAAGCAAATGGTAATATATAATATGTTAGGAGACGTGTATAATTTTCAACACAGAAATTCAACTATAATGGAATAAATTTTCTTAAAGAAACGCCGCATCTGTGAAACAAGATGTGAATAAGAATGCTTAGTGTAGCGTTGCTTGAGGAAAAAAGGAATGGGGACAAACATTTGTGAACAGAATAAATTGTAGTAAATTGATACAATAAAAGAATGCTATATCAGGAAAATTAAATAAAGACACGCAGAAATAAAAATTCAGAAACTAAGAAAGTGGCCAACTTAATCGTTGGGACAAGTCTGGAGTTGAATATTATATCCCAGAATTAAATTGGGAAAATTGAACCACAACAGAAGATAAAGTACATGAGACTGAATTGGTGAAGTATAATTTTATGACTTTTGACTAAAACATTGCTGATTTTCTTGTAGACTTCGTTATCTGGTTGTAACAATTTGTGTCCTGTCTTTGAGATATGGATAGGTTCATATACCTATCATTTGAACAGTATCCTAACCTGTTTCCTGGCTTTAAGTTTTAAGCAAAGTTCCTTAGCATTTCTTTTTTTTTTTTTTTTTTTGAAGAGATTTTCACTGTAGGGCGCGTGCGCTCGCCAGACAGACAGAGAGAGACAGAGAGACAGAAAGCGAGAAATCACGCCCCAGGGGGGATGGTCATGCCACAATCCCTTCTCCTCCATTCTCCTCTCGGGATCTTGGGCACGCACGCACACGCGCCCGGCGTGAGTTTTAAGCCACCGGGTCCGGGACACGAACCGCGGTCGACTACGTGGGAGTCCAGCGACATAGCCATTACGCTAACTGCTGGTTCCCGTGCATTTCTTTGATTAAAGTTAAAATTGGTTTTCTTAATAGTACCAAGTGAACTTGCTATAGAAAGCAGTTAGATCATTTAAGAAATTTGTGTGATCAACACAATGTGGGGATGGAAGACAACTGTAGACACAAGAGATAGTGTGAGAAGAGGGTGGGAAAGGACAGAGGGTCAGAAATAGGGGTAAAAAAAATACTAGAAACTAGAAATGGAAAATTTTTCATAATAACACGCATGATTAAGCCACTACGCAGTATATTCTGGATGCGAAAAATCACCCCAGGGAGGATGGCCATGCTGCAATACCTTGCCTATTCTCCTCTTGGAATTTTGGGCATGCACGCACATGTTCCCAGGGTGAGTTTTAAGCCACTGGGTCTGGGACTTGAACCACAGTAACTACGTGGGAGTCCAGCAACATCACCATTATGCCCTCTGCTGGTCCCCAGAATACTGTTCTTTTTAAATACTGGGTAGTACTCCACTGAATAAATGAATCACTTTTTCTCAATAACCTCTTGTTGGCCATTTGGGTTGTATTTAAGTTTCCACTTAAGCACATGCAAACATACATGCACAAAATTTTTTACGAACATGTATTTTCATTTCTCTTGGGTAAAGACCTAGGAGTGGAATTGGTGGGTCACATGGAAAGGGAATATTTAACTTCAAAAGAAACTGCCAAACTGCTTTTCAATGTGGTTGCACGATTTTGCACTTATTTCCAGTAGCTCCATATCCCTGTCAACACTTGGCAGTCTTAAATTAAGCCAATCTAGTGAGTATAAAGTGTTATCTCATTGTGGTTTTCACTTAGATTTCCCAGATGATCAATGTTGTTAGAACCTTCCCAAGTGCTTACTGAGCATCCACATATGTTCTTTTGTTAAGTTTCTGCTTTAACCACTTTATTTTATATATATATATATATATATATATATATATATATATATGTATGTATGTATATGTATATATGCATATATATACACATATCTAGAGAGAAATCAAGTTATTTAAGTTTCTCAAACATACAAGTCTTTTGTTCACATACATGTTTCGTGAATGTTTTGACTATAGCTTACCTTTTTATTTTTTGGAGAGGATTTTGCTATAGGGCACATGCACTTGCCAGAAAGACAAGAGACAGACAGAAAGTGAGAAATCACCCCCCCAGGGGAGCTGGCCATGCCATGATCCCTTCTCCTCCATTCTCCTCTCGAGAACTTGGGCACGCACGCACACATGCCCAGCGTGAGTTTAAGCCACCAGGTTAGGGACTATCACAGCGGTAGACTACATTGGAGTCCAGCGACACAGCCATTACGCCACTGCTGGTCCCTGTAGCTTGCATTTTTAAAATTTTCATAAGTGTTCTCCAGAGGAGAGGGTTTTAATTTAGGGAGGGTTTCCTATTTATTTAGTAAGAATTATTTATTTATTCATTCATTCTAGTTTCACCAGTGAAAGAGAAAAAGAGAGAGAGAGAGAAAGTAGAAAAGCAAGCCACCAGGTCTGGGACTCAAACAATGGTCGGCCATGTGGGAGTGTCCAGTGCCTTTAACCACCACACTGTTTGCTGGCCCTGAGGTTTCCAATTTATTAAAATAAATCTTTGCCTACTGTAAATCAGAAATATTGTTCCTATTTCCTCTTAGGAATTTCCTAATTTTAGTTTTTATGTTTTAGACTGTGATATAGTTTGAATTTAATTATGTATATGGTATAAAGTAGGGGTTAATATTGATTTCTTTCATACAAATATTCAGTTGCTCCTACATCATTCATTTGAAAAGATTATCCTTCCTCCCGCTGACTTATGTTGGTTCCACTGTCAAAATCGACCAACCACATAGTGGGTCAATTCCTGTATCTATGCTAAGCCTTCTACATGTCTCTTTTTACAACATTATCAGTTTTGACTACCGTAGCTTTATAGCATATCTTGAAATCAGGCAGTATAAGTTCTCCAACATTGTTCTTTTTCAAAACGTTTTGGCTATTCAAAATGGAAATACTAGGTTTCTTTGCATTTCCACATAAATCTACAAATCAGCTTATCAGTTTATGAATGTTAAGAACTTACTTGGGACCAGTAGTTAGCATAATGGCTACGTTGTGGACTCACTCACATATAGTCGACCATGATTCAAGTCCTGGACCTGGTGGCTTAAACTCACGCCGGGCATGTGTGCATGCTCAAGATCCCAAGAGGAGAACAGAGGAGAAGGGACTGCGGCATGGCTGTCCCCCCTGGGGGATAATTTCTCGCTTTCTGTCTCTCTGTCTCTGTCTGTCTGGTGAGCACATGTGTCCTATAGCAAAAACCTCTCAAAAAAAAAACAAAACAAAAAAAACAAAACAAAACTGATTTAAGTTTCTATTGTGTTGTTTCACAGTGGGAGTTCAGTGGGTGGGAGAAAGAGGATCAAAAAAAATTAACAGACACAAAAATGGGAAGTTATTGTAGGGACCAGCAGTTGGTGTAATGGCTATGTCGCTGGACTCCCATGTAGTTGACCGTGGTTCGAGTCCCAGACCTGGTGGCTTAAACTCACGCCGGGCACATGTGCATGCGTGCTCAAGATCTGGAGAGGAGAATGGAGGAGAAGGGATTGCGGCGTGGCCATCCCCGCTGGGGG